AAAAGGCCATACTGCTACTGTTGTAACTATGGGTCTAAATATAAAAAGCCATACTGCTACTGTTATAACTATGGGTCTAAATATAAAAGGCCATACTGCTACTGTTGTAACTATGGGTCTAAATATAAAAAGCCATACTGCTACTGTTGTAACTATGGGTCTAAATATAAAAAAAGCATCAACAAATTATTTGGCACCCTGCTGGTCGTTGGATGCATTGCGAGTCGTGGGGAAACAAAGTTCCCTTTCAGATTATGTCAGCCCATACCACTGGGGCAATGTTGGCCTATACCACTGGGGCAATGTTGGCCCATACCACTGGAGCAATGTTGGCCCATACCACTGGGGCAATTTTGGCCCATACCACTGGGGCAATGTTGGCCCATACCACTAGGGCAATGTTGGCCCATACCACTGGGGCAATGTTGGCCCATACCACTAGGGCAATGTTGGCCCATACCACTGGAGCAATGTTGGCCCATACCACTGGGGCAATGTTGGCCCATACCACTGGGGCAATGTTGGCCCATACCACTGGGGCAATGTTGGCCCATACCACTGGGGCAATGTTGGCCCGTACCACTGGGGCAATTGAAGCAGCGTTTACAAGTTAGAGTGTGTGGCCAGCAAAATGACCAGCCAAATTTACGTTTCCCCAGCTAAGGCCAGAGCAGGGTAGACTTAGGGACATCCTCAAGGATCAGGAAAAAAATACTAGCCTTAAACATAAACAGGATTAGATCCTTTTGTTATCAATGTAGGACCTATTTTCCCCTCCCCCGTCTGTCACCTGATGCAGCCACCTCTCTGTAGCATGCCACTGTTGCACGGCATGGCCCTGCAACTATTTCTGGCAGAACGTTTCTGGACTAGGTGATATATCTCATAGTGCTTTAAAACGCTAAATGGTACCCTATCAAGCTTCGACTTCATTGTGTGACCTCTCTAACGTGGGTGAATGTGAGTCTACATACCGGCACCATTTTTATTACTGGTATAACATTTAATATGAAATACCAGAAAATTAGTTATTATGTCTAGGAGGTTTGACTGTATCTGTTAGTAACACTCTATATGTCGAATAGACCCTATGTTGGCCCCTAACAGAGCAGATGTGGGCACAATTAATTGTCCTATAACCAATATATAGGCTAAAGTTGGGCCAATTAAATTTTTTAGAATTTATTTTTTGTGCATAGCTTCGGTTTTGAAATGTGTTAATGACATACTCATTATAGATCGCTACATACTACACTACTTAACACTACCCCCACCCCAACCCCCAGCTTGGAATATGATCCTAATTATTTCTAGAAATGTGCGTAATTATGGGAAAATTTCTGTCTGCCGATAACGCTGTGCATTATTTAAAAATTTCTGTCTGCCAATAACGCTCGGCATTATTGGAAGAGCTGTGCGGATAACGCTTCTCCCCCAAAATATGCATCAAAATCTTTTTGTGAACCTCTACCCTAATGAGTTAGCCTACATAGATGACCTACATAGTTGGCCTACATAGATGACGTACATAGTTGGCCTACATAGTTGACGTACATAGTTGGCCTACATAGATGACGTACATAGTTGGCCTACATAGATGACGTACATAGTTGGCCTACATAGATGACGTACATAGTTGGCCTATATAGATGACGTGGATAATAGTATCACAAACTGCCTAATCAAGGGTTAATTCAATATTACTTAAGCAAGAAAAATAAGTATTAATAACCTATTTCCCATTTAGCAATGCCTTGAATTGTAAATCTATCTATGAATGCCTATTGGACATTGGCCTAAACAGGACATTCAGCCAAAATATACAAAACAAACTAACGCAAAAAAATATATATAATTTATAAAAAACAATGTAAGACATTTTATTGGACATTTATGTTTTTTTTTTTTTTTTTTAATGAGATCTGGAATCTTGCGATCGACAAACTGACTTTATTTATAATTTCACTCGCGAAATGCGTAACTTTTCTTTTTTACTGTGTAGTAACATCTACAATATAGGTCTAAATTCTTGGACATCTGAACCCTTCAAGTGCAATCAATGTCAAATACTTTTATAGCAAGACTTATCGTTTTTCCTCTTCGGTGTCATCCAGACTGATATTTTTAATACTTCAAATTCATCCCCCAATCACCACAAAATCACCACCCAATTACCCCCCAAATCATCACACAATTATCACCCAATCATCACAAAATCATCACCCAATCACCACAAAATCATCACCCAATCACCACCCAATAATCACCCAATCACCACAAAATCATCACCCGATCACCACCCAATCAATACCAAATCACAACAAAATCACCACCCAATCACCGCCCAATCATCACAAAATCATCACCCAATCACCACCCAATAATCATCCAATCACCACCCAATAATCACCCAATCACCACAAAATCATCACCCAATCACCACCCAGTCTTCACCCAATCACCACCCAATCACCGCCCAATCATCACGTTCTTTGTATAAATGAGCAGTATCCTTGTGTTCTTATTTCTTCATTTACAAAACTTCTTTTCCGAAATGACTGTCTCCCTTATTTCTTCGGCCAATCAAAAACAATTTCATTTCACAGTCCCAACGTTTCCATTCGTCATCAATCTGTCAAAATTTGATTCATCAAATATGATTTGCTGGTTCTTCGACGATCCCTTTCAGGATTCGCAGGGTGGGTGTGGTCAAGGGGGCAGCCACCCAGGGATGGCTATGACGATGGCGTGGGTGTGGTCAGCAGGACAGCGACGGATGGCTATGACGATGGCGTGGGTGTGGTCAGCAGGACAGCGACGGATGGCTATGACGATGGCGTGGGTGGGGTCAGCAGGACAGCGACGGAAGGCTATGACGATGGCGTGGGTGTGGTCAGCATGACAGAGACGGATGGCTATGCCTATGGCGTGGATGTAGTTCACAGGACTATCAAAGATGGTCATGACGACAGTTTGGGTGTGGTCAACAGTAGAGCCACGGATGGCTATGACATCTGCGTGGGTGTTGTCAAAAAGACAGTCACGGATAGCAATGACAACGCCGTGGGTGTGGTCAGCAGGACAACGACGGATGGCTATGACAACGGCGTGGGTGTGGTCAGCAGGACAGCGACGGATGGCTATGACAACTGCGAGGGTGTGGTCAGCAGGACAGCGACGGATGGCTATGACAACTGCGAGGGCGTGGTCAGCAGGACACAATCACGGGTTGCTACGACGACGTGGGTGTAGTTTACAGGGCGGCCAAAGATGCCCACGACGACACTTAGGGTGTGGTCAATAGGACAGCCATGGAAGACGTGAACGACTTCGTGGGTGTGGTCAGTGGAAGTTCATTCTAATCGCTATGTGGACGCGCTAGGTTGGGAAAAAAATCCCTGCTTGTTTCAATCCCTGGGTCAGCGTGGTCAACAGCTACAAGAACACACCTGTAGCTATCCCCAGCAATTCCTGGGTCAGTGTTGAGACCCGCTGGTCCTCACCTTTGTGAGACCCGCTGGCTCCACTCTCTCCATCGCTTCCCCACGCGTTTATCGCTACCCCACGCGATATGACACAATTAGGCTGGGCCTTAAAATAATACAAGTAGACTCAAATAACAATGGAAATTAACTTATTCACTTTGGCCATGACCCAGTTTAAGCAATACACTCATTCTTGTCAAGCGTCCCAACTCTGAGTTGTCACTCTGATGACCAACGCGTAACGGAATCCGAAGCCACGCTGGTGAGTCATTTAAACACGACTCTGGGATGCCACGCTTAAATGCGGGACAAGCACACCAAACTTAGAGTATATATTGAAAGCCCAAATCATGTTCGGCCTCTCTTACCTGAATTATGTCAGAAGAGCCTGGCTGGCATAATTAGCTGATAAAGTGTGTTTATCCGATTGTGTCGGGTTAGTATTGTTCTATTTCATATTCATATGTACTGGTATGTAGAGTCGTAGATGTAATAGTGACTATTGTTAATGTTTGAATATGATAACTATTAATAATTTATAATGTGATGTGATTTGTAATTCTTAGCTATGTCTTATGCATTGTATTTATTATTCTCATTTCTAGCCAGTTAAGTAAAGTATAGTTACGTAAAGTGAAGTAAACTGAAGTTACGTAAAGTGAAGTAAACTGAAGTAAATTACAGTAATAGTAAAGTGAAGTAAATTACAGTAATAGTAAAAGTGAAGTAAATTACACCCACCTAGTAAATTACCTGAAGTAAAATAAAGTAAATTATATGAAGTAAATTACATGACGTAAATTACGTGCAGCAAGTTACAGTAAGTAACATTTGACCAGTAAAGAATATTTGACCAGAAAGTATTTGTAAAGTAAATAACGTTTGGTCAGAGTTGTAACAGTTCAATAAATAATAACTGGAACTAAATTTAGTACAGTTCAGTTAGAGGAAGCGCAGTGACTAGCAGGAGATAAGTCAAAGGAATCAAACAAGACGGTAGCATATACTGTGTGTGTGTAACCCACAGTACAGTTCAGAGTCGGCACCTACCTCCTCGCAGTGCCAGTGACCGGAGACCCTTACGCAGTCAAGCCGCCCAACCCCGCAGTACATTGTGACCCGAGCAGAGGGCTGCTGTGGTGTGTGTGTGTGGGACTTACTTATTTGACCAGATCGCCATTGAGAGCCTACTATGCAATAAGATTGGGCAGTATCTTGTTATCCTGTTTATGTGTATAGTATATGTAATTTGTATGCTGATAGTTCTGTTTTCTTATAATTAAATATTTATTTGTGGGCTGAACCACTCTTGTTTTATTAGTATATAAAGTATTACTAGAATTGCCAGTGAGAGCTAGTGAGAGTTCATTGAATGATAGAGTGAGTGTGAAGTAGGATTAGTGTAGAATACTTCATCAGGAAATTAATCGTACCCTAGACATAACCATAATAACAGTACTAATCTAACGTAGAGGAAAGGGACCTTTGTTTATACAAACATAAACATTGCAAATACCCATACTTGTAACAATTGGGTCAGAACATAATTAATTACAACACATCATAATACTTGTAACAGTCAGCGTGGTCAACAGAAGAACACGCTAGTAGCTATCCCCAACTGAGCCAAGTAATACGTCATCGTAAGCACAGAGCCCGAGAACTGAGCCTCCTCCCCGGACCATGTCTCGTTGCAGACGATGAAGAAGTCCACTAGCATAAAGAGCTTGACCCCTGCCCATCCAAGGTAGGACGGAACAGTGCGAAACATCTCAACCCTGTTACAGAAGACAGGAAGGGCACGTTATTTTTTGTATTACTTTGGTTTGGGAAAGTTCAGACAAATGGATTTTCTGCGTTAGAAGGCATCATTTTTTTTTTGTGTCTGCATAATTCAAATTTATGTCAATATAAGTTCAGCTGTAATGATGATTATACAAAATACAAATGTAAGTCGTTTCGGCAAATGCCTTCGTCAGTGCAACAAACAAAAATGAAACATTTATATACGTATTAATTAAATTTATATTTCATGTGTATGGCAGTGTCTTAAACACGGACCAAAGTTTGAAATAGAATGAAACTAAGACATTGCCCGGGTTTTGCGGTTTCTTTTTTTGTGGAGAATGAATTTATTCCCCCCCCCCCCTTTTTTTTTGTGGAGAGAATAAAAACTGGCTTACCATGTGGCATGACCAAAAAAAAAGAGTAAATGTTGAGCTACAGATCGTGTATAGCGCATCTACAAATATGCAGATGTTGTGTTCAATAAACAGTATTGTGAATGCTGTGATATATGTGGATTAGCGCGCCAACAAAAGTTTGATTGATATATCTGGAAATACTTTAGCGCACCTTTCACTGACTGTCCAGATCTGGATATTCTTTAGCACACCTATCACTGACTGTGCACATGTGGATATTCTTTAGCGCACCTATCACTGACTGTGGACATGTGGATATTCTTTAGCGCACCTATCACTGACTGTGCACATGTGGATATTCTTTAGCGAACCTATCACTGACTGTGCACATGTGGATATTTTTTAGCGTACCTATCACTGACTGTGCACATCTGGATATTCTTTAGCGCACCTATCACTGACTGTGCACATCTGGATATTCTTTAGCGCACCTATCACTGACTGTGCACATCTGGGTATTCTTTAGCGCACCGATCACTGACTGTGCACATCTGGATATTCTTTAGCGCACCTATCATTAACTGTGTCCATTTGGATATTCTTTAGTGCACCCATCACTGACTGTCCAGATCTGGATATTCTATAGTGAAACCATCACTTTCTGTCCAGATCTGGATATACTTTAGCCTACCTAGCACTGACTGTTCATATAAATACAATGTACTCTACATCTTACCTGGCCAAGGCGTAGAATGCTAATACTGTAATGGCGAACGTGTAGCTTATCATGGGCAAAGTGAACAGCTTGATGCCAAGTGTGTACGTCAGCCCCCCATAGGTGGCCAAGTTGAATGGAATGATGAAGTACGCATAGGTGGCTCTCTAAGGAGGAAGAACAGATGACTCAGATAAATTGCTCTCACATACGATGATACATTAGATCTCTTGCCTCACATACGACGTTATATTAGATCTATTGCCTCACGTACGATCTTATATTAGATCTATTGCCTCACATAAGATGTTATATTTGATCTACTGCCTCACACAAGATGTTATGTTCGAGCTATTGCCTCACATACAATGTTTTATTCGAGCTATAGCTTCACATATGATGTTATACTATAGCTATTGCGTCACACACAGCTTGAAGTCATTAATCATGCCACTTAAGTCATTAGTCAGACAAATTGAAGCCGTTTAACAGACAACTTAAAGTCATTAATCAGGTAACTTAAAGTCATTAATCAGGTAACTTGAAGTCATAATCAGACAATTCGAAGTCATTAATCAGACAGTTGCCGTTGACGGGTATGAGGCCAGAGGCAAGGGTGGTAACCTCTGGCCGAGGATTCAAATAATGCAGCCGTGAGAACGCTGCCCATAGACAACCGTTTCGTCCCAGCTACAGCGTGAAACAGGTCGCGTTGTTGAAACCCACTGTGGAATCCCTCTTATAGGGCGTCCGAAGCTTTCCCGGGATGGGTGGGGGAAGATATTAGGACGTAAATTTTCCATCCCGACTCCTGAGAAAGTCGATCGAGTGCACTATTTAAACCCATAGTGTCGGGTCGACCGGGTGCCTGCTGGTTGGGGCGGCCCCCAAGCGGGGTCCTGGTCGAGCGCCCAGGCGGGGGACTTGGGTGAGGGGCCCGTGTGGGGGCCGTCCTGACGAGTGGGCATCTCCAACGTGCCGCTCCGCGGCCCGATACGTCGGACCGGGGAGGGGTAATTTGGGGGGGGGCATAAGAGTCTAGACTCGCCCTGCTGACGCCATTTCTTAATGTAACATTTCAATCAGACAGCTATAAGTCATTAACCACGTAACTTGAAGTCATTAATCAGGCGAAAGTAGGAATTTCAATAAACGTAAAATACAGATGAATCAGCGACTAAGTTCTCTATCAAATTGCGCGCTACCATTTACAGCCAACAAAACAATGACGTCATCAATGGACACAATCACAACACATGTGCTGAGCACAATGACATCATCAATGGACACAATCACAACATATGTGCTGAGCACAATGACATCATCAATGGACACAATCACAACACATGTGCTGAGCACAATGACATCATCAATGGACGCAATCACAACCCATGTGCTGAGCACAATGACATCATCAATGGACACACTCACAACACATGTGCTGAGCACAATGACATCATCAATGGACACAATCACAACACACGTGCTGAGCACAATGACATCATCAATGGACACAATCACAACACATGTGCTGAGCACAATGACATCATCAATGGACACAATCACAACACATGTGCTGAGCACAATGACATTATCAATGGACACAATCACAACACATATGCTGAGCACAATGACATCATCAATGGACACAATCACAACACATGTGCTGAATGCTGCAGCAAGGCACGGGAAGCTCACATCCTAAAACACGCTATCTGAGCTGCCGTTTCTTTGTATCAGGAAGCCGATCCCATTGAGCTGGCATCTGGACTGTCTAAGACTTATTAAGTGGCTCAATCGATGTACAAGTGAGAGCTGCAGGACATTTCCACTGAGTTGTCCGTCCTTGTCACATTAAGAGCACTCTTAACTATTTGCTGTTCGATGTGCAGTTTGGATAGAAGTTTCTCATAACATAAATATATTTTTTTAAAGTTGACACATCAGATCATCAAATTGATGAAACAGGACAGATTTAGAGTGGACTCGAGCGGTGAGTGGTCGGATGGCCTTGTCCCAAGAGCTGGCAACAATCACTAGTGAACTACCTTCATGGACTGTGTGGAAGAGACTCGGGCAGTGAGTGGTCAGATGGCCTTGTCCAAAGAGCTGGCAACCATCACTAGTGAACTACCTTCATGGACTGTGTGGAAGAGACTCGGGCAGTGAGTGGTCGGATGGCCTTGTCCCAAGAGCTGGCAACAATCACTAGTGAACTACCTTCATGGACTGTGTGGAAGAGACTCGGGCAGTGAGTGGTCAGATGGCCTTGTCCCAAGAGCTGGCAACAATCACTAGTGAACTACCTTCATGGACTGTGTGGAAGAGACTCGGGCAGTGAGTGGTCAGATGGCCTTGTCCCAAGAGCTGGCAACAATCACTAGTGAACTACCTTCATGGACTGTGTGGAAGAGACTCGGGCAGTGAGTGGTCAGATGGCCTTGTCCCAAGAGCTGGCAACAATCACTAGTGAACTACCTTCATGGACTGTGTGGAAGAGACTCGGGCAGTGAGTGGTCAGATGGCCTTGTCCCAAGAGCTGGCAACAATCACTAGTGAACTACCTTCATGGACTGTGTGAAGAGACTCGGGCAGTGAGTGGTCAGATGGCCTTGTCCCAAGAGCTGGCAACCATCACTAGTGAACTACCTTCATGGACTGTGTGGAAGAGACTCGGGCGGTGAGTGGTCAGCGCTGTTCATACAATGTAGCGCTGTTCATACAATGTAGCACTGTTCATACAATGTAGCACTGTTCATACAATGTAGCACTGTTCATATAATGTAGCACTGTTCATACAAAGTAGCACTGTTCATACAATGTAGCGCTGTTCATACAATGTAGCACTGTTCATACAAGGTAGCACTGTTCATACAATGTAGCACTGTTCATATAATGTAGCGCTGTTCATACAATGTAGCGCTGTTCATACAATGTAGCACTGTTCATACAATGTAGCACTGTTCATACAACGTTCCCTATTTTATATTTATTTATAGTACTGTTAATATCTTTTAGCTCTATTATTTTATAAATTGTAGTACTGTTCAAACCTAGATGTACTCTACCAACCTTGTAGCACTGTTCAGATGTACTCTACCTACCTTGTAGTACTGTTCAAACCTAGATGTACTCTACCAACCTTGTAGCACTGTTCAGATGTACTCTACCTACCTTGTAGTACTGTTCAAACCTAGATGTACTCTACCAACCTTGTAGCACTGTTCAAATGCACTCTACCTACCATGTAGCACTGTTCAGATGTACTCTACCTACCATGTAGCACTGTTCAGATGTACTCTACCTACCATGTAACACTGTTCAGATGTACTCTACCTACCATGTAGCACTGTTCAGATGTACTCTACCTACCATGTAGCACTGTTCAGATGTACTCTACCTACCATGTAGCACTGTTCAGATGTACTCTACCTACCATGTAGCACTGTTCAGATGTACTCTACCTACCATGTAGCACTGTTCAGATGTACTCTGCCTACCTTGTAGCACTGTTCAGATGTACTCTACCTACCTTGTACCACTGTTCAGATGTACTCTGCCTACCATGTAGCACTGTTCAGGTGTACTCTACCTACCTGGTAGCACTGTTCAGATGTACTCTGCCTACCATGTAGCACTGTTCAGGTGTACTCTACCTACCTTGTAGTATTGTTCAGGTGTTCTCTGCCTACCATGTAGTACTGTTCAGGTGTACTCTACCTACCATGTAGCACTGTTCAGGTGTACTCTACCTACCTTGTTGTACTGTTCAGGTGTTCTCTGCCTACCATGTAGCACTGTTCAGGTGTACTCTACCTACCATGTAGCACTGTTCAGGTGTACTCTACCTACCTTGTAGTACTGATAGAAAGCTGCAGCATACAAGAGCAGCCCAACACAAAAGAGAGACAGGGCATACGTCAGCAGTTCCATGTCCCACGTCAGCATGACGTCACCCACGGCAAACACCACCAGACCCAACAGGATGTACCTGTCAGGTGTGGATACATGACTACTGTCAAGTGTGGATACATAGCTACTGTCAGGTGTGGATACATGACTACTGTCAGGTGTGGATCCATGCCTACTGTTAGGTGTAGATACATGGCTACTGTCAGGTGTGGATACATGGCTACTGTCAGGTGTGGTTACATGACTACTGTCAGGTGTGGATACATGACTACTGTCAGGTGTGGATACATGACTACTGTCAGGTGTGGATACATGACTACTGTCAGGTGTGGATACATGGCTACTGTCAGGTGTGGTTACATGGCTACTGCCAGGTTTTGATACATGCCTACTGTCAGGTGTGGATACATGACAACTGTCAGGTGTGGATACATGACTACAGTCAGGTGTGGATACATGCCTACTGTCGGGTGTGGATACATGCCTACTGCCGGGTGTGGATACATGACAACTGTCGGGTGTGAATACATGACTACTGTCAGGTGTGGATACATGCCTACTGCCGGGTGTGGATACATGCCTACTGCCGGGTGTGGATACATGCCTACTGCCGGGTGTGGATCCATGCCTACTGCCGGGTGTGGATACATGACTACTGTCAGGTGTGGAGACAGAAATACTGTCCAGGATTTTTTTTTAAACGTATATGAAAGGGGAAGCAACTGAATTCTCAAAAAAAATGCACCATCGTTTCAAAGGTTGTCTCCCTTAACGTAACTTCCCGGCAGGCATGCAATGAGACTCATGTTTTATTTTACTACCGTATTGAGTGAGATGTCCTTAGTTAAAAGGGAGCAACTTTCAGAGCAAGGAGTTGAAGAAACGTGAGTTGTTAGCGGCACGTACCGGCAGTAATTTCTCTGTGCCTCACACACCGTGTCGTCCGAGTGTCGGATGAGCTCCATGAGGTAGACCAGCGGTAGGATCCTCATCACGCACACCTCGAACTGGCGGGACGGCGGTGGCTCCAGTCTGGCGTACCAGAACGAGTAGCCGACGGCCAGGAGGTAGTACGGCAGGACGTGCCATGACGTCACGAGGGACAAGACGCGGTTTAACAGCTGTGAGAGCGAAACAAAAGCTAAGTCAACCGCTGGTGTCCGTTGGTGTGACAATTGGTGTCAGTTTGTGTGACATCTGTTGTCAGTTGGCGTGACGTGACAGTTGTTGTCAGTTGGTGAGACAGTTGTTGTCACTGGGTTAACAGTTGTTTTCAGTTGGTGTGACAGGTGATGTCAGTTGATGTGACAGTTAGTTTCAGTTGGTGTGACAGTTGATGTCAGTTGATGTTACAGTTGGTGTCAGTTGGTGTTACAGTTAATGTCAGTTGATGTGACAGTTGGTGTCAGTTGGTTTGACAATTGGTGTCAGTTTGTGTGACATCTGTTGTCAGTTGGTGTGACGTGACAGTTGTTGTCAGTTGGTGAGACAGTTGTTAACAGTTGTTTTCAGTTGGTGTGACAGGTGATGTCAGTTGATGTGACAGTTAGTTTCAGTTGGTGTGACAGTTGATGTCAGTTGATGTTACAGTTGGTGTCAGTTGGTGTTACAGTTATGTCAGTTGATGTGACAGTTGTTGTCAGTTGGTGTGGCAGTTGGTGTGGCAGTTGGTGTGACAGTTGGTGTCAGTTAATGTGACCGTGGGGCAAAAATGTGTCTGTTGCTGTGACAATGGGACCAACATGTGTTAGTTGATGTGACAGTGGGGCCAACATGTGTCAGTTGCTGTGACAGTGGGGCCAACACGTGTTAGTTAATGTGACAGTGGGGCCAACATATGTCAGTTGCTGTGACAGTGGGGCCAACACGTGTTAGTTGATGTGAGAGTGGAGCCATCATGTGTTAGTTGATGTCAAAGTTGAGGGCCAACATGTGTTTGTTTATGTCACAGTTGGGGGAGGGGGGCAACACGTGTTAGTTGATGTTATAGTGGGGCCAACATCTGTTTTCAAATTTTAACGCTGAATCTTATTGTACTGGAATTTGCACCGCAGGTTATACCATAGGTTGTAGTGTAGGTTGTACCGTAGGCTGTACTGAATATTGTACATCTCTTTTCCTTAAAGCCCATAATATTAATAATAATAATAATGTATACTGCCTCTCACAGTGTCAAAGAAGGAACCTGCAATCTCTATAATCCGATTTGGAACCGAATCAGTGGCGTTTCAATTACACAAAAGGGTTCTTCTCTTACCCGGGCCATTATAGTAATTGACGCGAGACGTCGACGTGGTAAATCATTGCCTATCATTCTTCTAACTAATATCAAAGCACGAGCAATGCAGCTGATTATTGCACCGATAGCTATTGATCGAAGCCTGACCCGACATGCGACTGGTGAGGCAGGGTCGGATCGGTGGCGTAGAGGCATTGGGTCCGTAAGAGGGGGGGGTGGTGACTTAGACCCTAGGATGAAACACGGCCTCGAACCCGTCTTGGTACGCCACTGAACGGAATGCACCCAAATCGATAGCGTCATACTGAAGGTACCACTGTCTTCACAAACGGATCGGTGGCGTAGAGGCATTGGGTCCGTAAGAGGGGGGGGGGGTGCCTTAGACCCTAGGATGAAACACGGCCTCGAACCCGTCTTGGTACGCCACTGAACGGAATGCACCCAAATCGATAGCGTCATTCTGAAGGTACCACTGTCTTCACAATGCGGGACACTGGACTGTTTGCACTTTGCTGTGAGGACTCCTTTTTTTTTTTTTTTAAATCATGTCCGGAATCGATGTTTCGGGTATTTATTATAACGATCGATTTCAACGTTAGCCAACGTGGCATCGATACCAATCAGTTAGGGCGCATGACTAACAATTCGGTCAGATGAAGGACGTCCGTCTGACGTATCGTCTGCCACAGATATCATGTCGATGTCAATGCCATCATTACGTGCGTGTTAGGAGATAAACTGATAACTTTGATGTTGTGTCGCACTGAGTGGCACTGTGGAGGTTAGAGCTAATGTAACATGTTTAGCACTGAGTGGCACTGTGGAGGTTAGAGCTAATGTAACACGTGTAGCACTGAGTGGCACTTTGGAGGTTAGAGCGAATGTAACATGTGTAGCACTGAGTGGCACTGTGGAAGTTAGAGCTAATTTAACATGTGAAGCACTGAGTTGCACTGTGGAGGTTAGAGCTAATGTAACATATGTAGCACTGAGTGGCACTGTGGAGGTTAGATCTATTGTAACATGTGAAGCACTGAGTGGCACTGTGGAGGTTAGATCTATTGTAACATGTGTAGCACTGAGTGGCACTGTGGAGGTTAGATCTATTGTAACATGTGTAGCACTGAGTGGCACTGTGGAGGTTATATCTATTGTAACATGTGAAGCACTGAGTGGCACAGTGGAGGTTATAGCTAATGTAACATATGTAGGTTAGAGCTAATGTAACATGTGTAGGTTAGAGCTAATGTAACATGTGTAGGTTAAAGCTAATGTAACATGTGTAGGTTAGAGCAATGTAACATGTGTAGATTAGAGCTAATGTAACATGTGAAGGTTAGAGCTATGTAACATGTGTAGGTTAGAGCCAATGTAACATGTGTAGGTTAGAGCTAATGTAACATGTGTAGGTTAGAGCTATGTAACATGTGTAGGTTAGAGCTATGTAACATGTGTAGGTTAGAGCTATGTAACATGTGTAGGTTAGGGCTAATGTTAGATGTGTAGTTTCACTGCTCATATTATGTTGTAAAATCATCATGGAGACAAGCCTTGAAGACCAGAAAAAAAAGAGCTCATGTTTATTTGACAAGTCAAGTAGCCTGTCTGTCAGTAGCCTGTCTGTCAGTAGACTGTCTGTCAGTAGCATGTCAGTAGCATGTCAGTAGCCTGTCTGTCAGTAGCATGTCAGTAGACTGTCTGTCAGTAGCCTGTCCATAAACAGTCTGTCAGTAGCCTGTCAGTAGACAACAGCTCCCGAATGTCCCCATTACTTGGCGTAAAGTTGGAATAATAACTCCATCACTGATCTCACCGTGAGCGAACCAAATGAGCTATACTATTCATTCTCGCCCCACCCCATACACATACCGTTTCATCATTCTCACCCCTCCCCATACACATACCGTTTCATCATTCTCACCCACTTCCACACACGCACGTCACTTGTCATGTCATTCACACTCATCATCGCTTCCCACACACGCACTTCACTTGTCATGTCATTCACACTCATCATGGCTTCCCACACACACACTTCACTTGTCATGTCATTCACACTCATCATCGCTTCCCACACACACACTTCACTTGTCATGCCATTCACACTCATCATCGCTTCCCACACACACACTTCACTTGTCATGTCATTCACACTCATCATGGCTTCCCACACACGCATTATTATCTACTTCATCATCACCTTACATGAACACATCATTGCGACAACGTGGCCACATTAGCCTCACACGGCAGCTCTTCCAACACATCTCCCGGCACTCCGATCAGTGACAAAACACTATGGCCCATATACCACGACACGGAACCTTGGCCACAATGCGACCACGCGACACATATCTTGGCTTGCGTCACATGACAATGTCTTCATTGACGGACGCAATGATTACTCCAAACGGGCCTTCCGAACGCCAATCTACTCCGGTTTCAAGTGGGTAGATTGCGTTCAGGAATATCAAGTAATTGAGATTAACTTTTTTTTTTTTTTTAAAGTTTCATTCTCAGGGCCTAGCGCTGTCTCAGGGCCTAGCGCTGTCCCCTGACATTAGATGCGGTTTCCCCCTAACACCAGGAGTAGGATATCCACGCATGACTGCTACGATCGAATGATTCTTTGAAAAGGATATATTAAGAACTTAACCACCGTCATACCCCTTGCACTTCTAGCCTAAAGCCAGTTAAGTCCTGTCTTGCAATTGGCCACCCGTCATTGATCCACTACAGCTGTCAGGTACGTACGGTCGCCGTCCTTGGGAAGGAACAAACTAAATTCAATACATTCGGGTTGCATTAGGATATTTTTTATGTGTTCTAGATTTGATACCGTTTACCACCAAGGATTGGGTTGTACAGAGATGGATCGGAGAAAATATGTAACAAATGTTTTCTGTGTTCGCCAAATCGGTGGTTTCGAAATTCCGTGTCCACTTCATTTACTTTAATATATCCAATTTGTATATGTGTTCTGTTTTGTGGACGGCGAAGCTCTAGCTACTCTGCCGCACACCATATAACTACAGAAATTTATCAACACCCCATATAACCGCATATATTTATCAACACACCATACAATAGCACACATTCATCAACACCCCATATAACCGCGTACATTTATCACAACACCATAACCATATGACTGCAAATGTTTAAAATAAATCTCGGATGGCCAAATAATTATTTTTTTTTAGCTGGCATCCGTCCGTCACAATGTGACGATGGAGTGGGCCTCGTAGGACGAAATCCACATAGCCTGGGATTATTATACTTTAAGGATTATAAGCTGGTTCCCAACAGCAAATCGCCTCTCTCCACGCCCAAGGGAACATCATTGGATGATACAGCTTGGCACCAGTGACGTCGCAGGAGTTATCCGCCTTTCGGGACTCCATCTCCGGGTTTGATTTCAGAGTTTCCTTCTCTTAGATGAGTTGCCGTCCAAGGTTAACGAGTCCCATCTACCCGGGGTGCTGGTGGTGTTTTTGCTCTAGCTGGAATTGAACTCCAGACCACCAACTTGAGATTTGCTCAGTTTAGACCACTCGGCCACCCAGCACCCTAGCCAAATAAATAAAGCAAGCCCTAAACATGACCGGTTAGATGCACCCCTTTACAAGTTTCGCATCGGTATTTAACCCACATTTCAAAATCTTGCGACACGCCTATGAACCATGAGCGACACACCAGTGTGTCGTGACACACTCACACCAGTGTGTCGTGACACACTGGTGGACAAATCGCTGTCGCAGAACATGATTACATTTTTTCCCGCCGTATGCATGCCAGAATTCCTTGTTTCAAGTGTAGACCCTGTTGTTGGTCATTGATAAATTGGTTATGTGACGTCACATAACGCTCCCACACACTACGCAAAGTTACCAAGAAATCAGCCCCCCCCCTCCCTTTTTCCCGGACATCATTCCGGACATTTTTTGAATGTTAACGACAATAACACCAAGAGCACATTTAGATAACTTCATCTAGAATGACACCTTTCTCATACCACCATGAGTTATTGCACTGCCTTTGAGATGCTTCCCATGCTTTCCTTTCGGGAACGGGCGCGGGAAAAAGGGGGTCGCCGCCCCTGACAGCACATATGGTGGGGGTCACCACCCCTGACAGCACATATGGTGGGTCACCGCCCCGACTGCACATATGGGGGGTCGCCGCCGCTGACAGCACATTTTACTTTCATCTCTATCACGGTACACCACGCTCGAACACTATCACCTGTACTTGTACTTTACTTACATCTCTATTGCCGTACACCATGCTCGTATACTATCATCTGTACTTGTACTTTACTTACATCTCAATTGCCGTACACCACTCTCGTACACATATCACCTGTACTTGTACTTTACTTACATCTCTATCGCCGTACATCACTCTCGTACACATATCACCTGTACTTATACTTTACTTACATCTCTATTGCCGTACACCACTCTCGTGCACATATCACCTGTACTTGTACATTACTTACATCTCTATTGCCGTACACCACTCTCGTACACATATCACCTGTACTTGTACTTTACTTACATCTCTATCGCCGTACATCACTCTCGTACACATATCACCTGTACTTATACTTTACTTACATCTCTATTGCCGTACACCACTCTCGTACACATATCACCTGTACTTGTGCATTACTTACATCTCTGTCACAGTAAACAATTCCAGACTGAGTTCTTCGCATTGACGGACTACGGTGATAGCGTTTGTCATTCATGATGTCAGAGTTGTCTTCTCCTAATTCTAATTGTTATGGGAGGGTAATATATGTATGGAAGTCTGTACAAAGCTATGGCAGACAATTGGCGGAATTATGTGCAAAGCTATGGCAGACAATTGGCGGAAGTCTGTACAAAGATATGGCAGACAATTGGCGGAATTATGTGCAAAGCTATGGCAGACAATTGGCGGAAGTCTGTACAAAGCTATGGCAGACAATTGGCGGAAGTCTGTACAAAGCTATGGCAGACAATTGGCGGAAGTCTGTACAAAGCTATGGCAGACAATTGGCGGAATTCTGTGCAAAGCTTAGGCAGACAAATGTCGGTCCTATCAACATAACCGTTTGGTGGAAAAAAATGAGAATTTTCATTGATGTGCTTCGCAGGTTTCTTGAACTTATTTCCTTGCACCGTTCTGTCATCATCATGAATGCATGGCCGCTGTCAATGTTTGTTGTATGTTTCACCTGTGAGCGTGTCCAGTGTTTTCCACGACTTTTTCAATGTCACAGTTATGTGTAAATACGCGTGGGTGTTAGTTTGATATTAGGGCAATCATCTTTTAAGTCTCATTAGAGTTATGTTCAATTTGCGTTTGTAATGGCTAGGCTTCTGGCTATTGTAGTTCAAGCGGCTAGTCCTCTGTTTATTGTAGTTCTAGGGGCTAGTCTTTTGGCTATTGTAGTTCTAGGGGCTAGTCTTCTGGCTATTGTAGTTCGAGGGGCTAGCCTTCTGGCTATTGTAGTTCGAGGGGCTAGCCTTCTGGCTATTGTAGTTCTAGGGGCTAGCCTTCTGGCTACTGTAGTTCTAGGGGCTAGCCTTCTGGCTATTGTAGTTCTAGGGGCTAGCCTTCTGGCTATTGTAGTTCTAGGGGCTAGTCTTCTGGCTATTGTAGTTCTAGGGGCTAGCCTTCTGGCTATTGTAGTTCTAGGGGCTAGTCTTCTGGCTATTGTAGTTCGAGGGGCTAGCCTTCTGGCTATTGTAGTTCTAGGGGCTAGTCTTCTGGCTACTGTAGTTCTAGGGGCTAGCCTTCTGGCTATTGTAGTTCTAGGGGCTAGCCTTCTGGCTATTGTAGTTCTAGGGGCTAGCCTTCTGGCTATTGTAGTTCTAGGGGCTAGCCTTCTGGCTATTGTAGTTCTAAGGGCTAGTCTTCTGGCTATTGTAGTTCTAGGGGCTAGTCCTCTGGTTGTTGTAGCTCTAGGAATTATGCTTCCCGTTAGAATGATTCATGGAAGTGTCCATTAGCTTTAAGTTTCTTGGCTTGACAGAATGAAGATATCGCTGCCGTTAGGACTTGCGCGATATTCTCTCCAGCAAAGATGTACGGGTCATGTTCTCCAGTGACGTCACTGAGTCGAGCCAAGGCGGGTGGCTAGAGGTTTGTATTGAGTATGTTTTGTTTGTATTGCAGCTGTGTGAGTCATCAGCACTGTCTGGCCGAGAGTGTGCTGATTTGAGTGCTGCTCCAGGGGGGTCCACACCGGCGTCGTCAACGAAACCTTTGGAGAGACCATGGGGAAATCTAGCGTGAAAAACATGCTACAAGAGGTAGGTTCTAAAGGTTACAAGAGGTCGGTTCTAACTGTTAACAGATACAATAGTACGCCAACTAGTTGAATGGCCATTCACTTGTTGCAGTAATGTAAGACCGGTGTGTAAACAAGTCTAGGGGTATCCCTATCCCAGAGGCGAGACTGACAGGGCCGGGCCGTTAATGTCTGTTCATATACGTAGGTTAAGATGCGATACGACTCCCCGGGGGTATTCTTTCCCCCTCCCACGCCCCCCCCCCGGCTTTAGGCACCAGTTACGCCATTAGTAGGCTTACCCACACCCACATATGCCCACCCTTCTTTGGGGATAGATTGTTTTCGGTTTATGTATTATATATACTTTTCAATTCAGAGAAATGTTATTTCTTAGATATCATTTAAAATGAGGAGACGTGCAGCACACTAGATGTTGTGCTTGGCTTGATGATACAAAAAACTCAACATTTAACATATTACAAAGTTTCCATCATGGATTTGACGGGCCGATTTGTTTAACTTTAACGTTGGAAACGAAGTTCATGTTTATTAAAAGTTTTTTGTTTCCTGTACACAAAAATAATAAATCTCACTATACTATTAATACTGGAACATTAACCGTGGCAAGGATGAAAAAAAAAGACGGAAGGGGGGGGGGGGGGGAGAGAGAGAGAGAGGATAAAGCAAAATTCTAAACATTGAAACATTGTTTAAATAAAAAAATAATTTAAGAGTTTTAATGCATGACTCGGCATTTGTAAGTAAACCCTTAGATCACGTTAGAGATTGAAGTTGACGGCCATGATGGATGTTGGTGCTTTTTGTTTTTAACTTCACCCAACAAGAGCACTACTTCCTGTGCTCCTTGGTTTCTTCGTTTAGTTACCGTACTACCAAAAGAAAGTTCATAGAGTCTCCTTGTGTGTGCCCTAGTAAGAAAATATAGCACAAAGCTCTGGCTGTGTGAACATTCTGATGCTAATTTCTTTGTCAATGCTCATTGACGTTTCGATTTCGAGGCATTTGAACTTTCTTTAATGGGGAGAATAAATGAAATCTTCACCCAATCATTCAAACAATGTGCAACATTTTTAAAATCCATTTTTTATGAACTTCGCTCTTGTTTGTGCGTTTATTTCTTCGTTTGTGTTGGTAAAAAATGTTCGGAACGCTAATTGACCCCATTCCAGTCATCATATCGAGCACATATATTCGTTGCCAACACAGCTCATTTTCAGCCCCACGTCTACCCCCAAATATCAGTTGTTGTTGTTTTGTTGTTGTTTTGTTGTTGTTGATTTTTTTTTTTTAAAGTGAGGTGGGGTGTTCATGGTATTTAAACACAACACAATATTTAAGTTGTGGAAGTGATTAATAGTTGTAAAAACTAATTTGTTTAATTCGTGCGTATTTTGGTGTGGAGATTAATTGTATAGCTGTTGCTTATGTCCTTTGCATTTCTGATGTATTTGGTTGTGTGGGAGATGACTGACTCAAAAATGATGTTCCTGGTTTTCTTTAAACACGACCAATTCTTATTTTAAATATATCTTTAGTCTTTTGGGTTCTACATGCACTGGGTTTGATAAAAAAAAATCTTATACCAAAAAAAAATCAGTTGTTACAATAACATAATGATATATCATGTACAATGACATAGTTGATATATCATGTACAATGACATAAATGATATATCATGTACAATGACATAAATGATATATCATGTACAATGACATAAATGATATATCATGTACAATGACATAAAGGATATATCATGTACAATGACATAAAGGATATATCATGTACAATGACATAAATGGTATATCATGAACAAATGACATAAATAATATCTCATGTACAATGACATAAATGATATATCATGTACAATGACATAAATGATATATCATGTACAATGACATAAAGGATATATCATGTACAATGACATAAATGGTATATCATGTACAATGACATAAAGGATATATCATGTACAATGACATAAATGGTATATCATGAACAAATGACATAAATAATATCTCATGTACAATGACATAAATAATATCTCATGTACAATGACATAAATAATATCTCATGTACAAAGACATAAATGATATATCATGCACAATGACATAAAGGATATATCATGCACAATGACATAAAGGATAGATCATGCACAATACCATTAAGGATATATCATGCACAATAACATAAAGGATATATCATGCACAATGACATAAAGGATATATCATGCACAATGACATAAAGGATATATCATGAACAAATGACATAAATGATATATCATGTACAATGACATAAATGATATATCATGTACAATAACATAAAGGATATATCATGCACAATGACATAAAGGATATATCATGTACAATGACATAAAGGATATATCATGTACAATGACATAAAGTATAAAGGATATATCATGTACAATGACATAAAGGATATATCATGTACAATGACATAAAGGATATATCATGTACAATGACATAAAGGATATATCCTGTACAATGACATAAAGGATATGTCCTGTACAATGACATAAAGGATATGTCCTGTACAAAGCCATAAAGGATATGTCCTGTACAATGACATAAGGGATATGTCCTGTACAATGACATAAGGGATATATCATGTACAATGACATAAGGGATATATCATGTACAATGACATAAGGGATATATCATGTACAATGACATAAGGGATATATCATGTACAATGACATAAGGGATATATCATGTACAATGACATAAGGGATATATCATGTACAATGACATAAAGGATATATCATGTACAATAACATAAAGGATATATCATGTACAATAACATAAAGGATATATCATGTACAATAACATAAAGGATATATCATGTACAATGACATAAAGGATATATCATGTACAATGACATAAAGGATATATCATGTACAATGACATAAAGGATATATCATGTACAATAACATAAAGGATATATCATGTACAATAACATAAAGGATATATCATGTACAATAACATAAATGCAAACAAAAATACATAGAAGTGATTTATACCAACAACTTTGTGTCTAGGGGTTATTTCCCTTTCGACTGTCTTTGGGCCACTAGGTTTAGTGCCACACTGGCTAGGGTCAGTGCCACACTGGGTGAGCTAAGATTTTTGCTTTGTCAATAGTTCTCTTTGGAATGTCAAATAATGGGTCCATGCTGGGCCAGTGCTAGGAGGGTGCGGGGCCTAGGCCAAATGGAATGTCATGCGGGGGGGGGGGGCCTTTCCCGTGACATATCCTGGCCAAATTTTTGCTTTGTCAATAGTTCTCTTTGGAATGTCAAATAATGGGTCCATGCTGGGCCAGTGCTAGGAGGGTGCGGGGCCTAGGCCAAATGGAATGTCATGCGGGGGGGGGGGGCCTTTCACGTGACATATCCTGGCCAATGAGACAAGTGAGACAGATGAGATTTTACTGGTCTTAATGATGTGAGACAGATGAGATTTTACTGGTCCTAATGAAATGACGCTTTCAAGTCTTATCGGGATTTACTGTTCGTCATGATGTAACACACCAAAGTCTTATTGGATTTTACTAGTCATAATGGAACATGGCATACCGAGGGGTTTTTTGCCTCGCGACCCTCTATTGCCGGGCCTGGTCCATGTCATTCAAGATTATCAGATCCCCCTCATTTCTTTCATATTTAATAACAACACTTATTTCTTCTGTAGATTTTAACAGAACTCAGGCAGCCAACTCTGCTTCCCTTCTACATGACGTCATTGCTATATCTCTGGGTTTACTCCCCGCACATAGAGCGGCCCCAAGAACTGTTGTCCGTCGCCATTTTGAAAGCCCTTCCCATATGGACACTCGCCTTTAAAGTGTACCTCAGTTCATCTGGAGGGAACAACTCGGGTAAGCCTAATGCCCCCGGAGCTGACGTGGCCCTGACCTTGTTCCTCGGCGGCCTCCTCATGTCCAGCGTTGGTGACGTCTGCCTAGTCTACACCAAGTTTTTCCCAGTGGGAGTCTTGGCCTTCGCCTTTGCCCAGTTCTGCTACCTGCTCAGCATGAGGCAGCTTTTCAAGCGCGGCTCCTTCGCGTGGATCGTGCTGCCGTTGGGCTTCACCAACTTGCTGTTGATGGTCACAAGCATCCACGACTACGTCCTGCTGACCGAGGTCGTGGTCTACCTCGCGCTCATACACACGATGCTGTTCATGGCCATAGCGAGCTTCGAGAGTAACCCGTCGGCCCCGACCGTGTGCATCATGGCGGGCGCCGCCATATTTACTGTGTCTGACTTCACGATCGCAGTGAACAGCTGGGTGTGGAAGTTTGGCTGCGCAGAAGGCGTGATTTTGTTCACTTATTACATTGCTCAGCTCTTACTGACCGTTGGTATGACCAAAGCGAAAATACCGTGGCGATTGTAAGAGCTGTGTAACATGATATAGCAGTGTGAGAACGGCATGGCCAGTGAGAAGCTTGATCAGTGTAAGAATGGTTCGACTATTAATGTAAGAATGGTATGACCAAAGTAAGAATGGTTTGACCAATGTAAGAATGGTTTGACAATAAATGTAAGAATGTTTGACCAATGTAAGAATGGTTTCACCAATGTAAGAATGGTTTGACCAATGTAAGAATGGTTTGACCAATGTAAGAATGGTTTGACCAATGTAAGAATGGTTTGACCAATGTAAGAATAGTTTGATCAATGTAAGAATGGTTTGACCAATGTAAGAATAGTTTGACCAATGTAAGAATGGTTTGGCCAATGTAAGAATGGTTTGACCAATGTAAGAATGGTTTGACCAATGTAAGAATGGTTTGACCAATGTAAGAATAGTTTGACAATTAATGTAAGAATAGTTTGACAATGTAAGAATGGTTTGACCAATGTAAGAATGGTTTGACCAATGTAAGAATGGTTTTACCAATGTAAGAATGGTTTGACAATTAATGTAAGAACGGCTTGACCACTTTAAGATTTGTTGATGACTACACATTTCTTTATGATGTATTATATGTTGGATTTCAGGTGCCCAGCATGTTGAACATGTCTTGTTCTATATTTTTTTTGGGTCATTAAATTGTCAATCTGAGAGAGGTGTGTGTGCCAACATTCGCTCCCATCTACTTCATCTCTTATTTTTGGTCAAATCAGGTTGCCTTTTATAGTTTCAAAATGTAGTTTAACTCCTGGGTGTATTCCAAATACTTAGCTACCTCACAATGTGACCACTAACAATAACAAAGGTCTATAGTGTATGAATTGTACAAGTATTTGTAGGATTAAGTTGAGAGGTGTTTTGTGTAATGCCCTTATGTAATGCCATGGGATGCTTATGTAATGCCCAAGTGCCCTTATGTAATGCCATGGTGCCCTTATGTAATGCCATGGGATGCTTATGTAATGCCTAGTGTCCTTATGTAACACCATGGTGTCCTAATGCAATGGTGTCCTAATGCAATGGTGTCCTTATGTAATGTCATGGTGCCCTTATGTAATGCCATGGTCTCCTTATGTATGACACTGCTGCTCTTGTGTAATAACTATTGCCCCAATGTAATGAAAGCTGCCCTTGTGTAATGATATTGACTGTTGCCCTTTCAATAGTGGTGCGTCTCAAGATGAGCAACGAATAAATACTTTGATATATCAAATCTTTTCTAACACAAGCTTTTTCAACATGAAATTGGAATACGGCAATGAATAATAGTCACTAGCAGTTGTAAACCATTACTAACATAACATTAAAAATACACAAATTAAAGCCTCCATGTTGTTTCTTTTTTAATTTTAAAATGCTGATCCAAGTCTGGTGGTCTCTCTACCCCCCCCCCCAACCTGAAAGCACAATTTATATGGTTCAATATTTTTGACATGACTAGTGACATAGAATCGTTTAGGCTGGTAGGTGTCACAAATGGAATTTTCCATATAAATAAGCAATTAGTACAGTAGGCTTAGGCGCCTAAGGTAACAGTACTGAAACGCCAGCATCCATATATGCAATAGACACCGGTGCATCACCCCCAACTGCCACGTAGTCCTAGGAAGATATGTTGGGAAGTTGTAGTTGGGAATGGTGCTTCCGACGGAAGAAAAAAAACTCTTCGTGGTTGGCCTTTAGTTTCACTCATCTGTTATTTGTCGGTGAATGGGGGCCCGAGTCTGACAAAGGTGGCCGAAACATTCTGAGGGAGATTTAATAAGACGGCACCATGTCACACGGCAGTGCTGTTTTGCTGTTGCGACAGTTCGCTGTTCTGGAAGTGCACTGTGTCAAACGGAAGGGGAAGTCGAGCAGGGCCGGCGCTAGGGGCGTTGCAGGGTCTTGGTCAGATAAATTTTTTCGGGGCCGTCGATTAAGACACGCCACAGTCATATTGGGTCTTTCTGTTCATAACGGGAGACGTCATGGATCGCGTAGTGAGACATTGTGCCTCCCAAGGTAGACTTTGAGTTTTACGCGCCCCCCCCCCCCTCAGAAAAGTGGCAGGGGGTCTTGAAAAGTCAAGTGAAGGCTCTGCTTTGCCTGCTTGATTTAAACAAATATCTTTTTTTAAATTTTACACCTTGACAAAAGATGTACAAGGTAGACTTTGAGTTTTACGCGCCCCGCCCCCCTCAGAAAAGTGGCAGGGGGTCTTGAAAAGTCAAGTGAAGGCTCTGCTTTGCCTGCTTGATTTAAACAAATATCTTTTTTTAAATTTTACACCTTGACAAAAGATGTAGACCTTGTATATACCTATACTTTTTATTTTGCTGGGATCCGTCCACCACAATGTGACGATGGTGTGGATTTCGCAGAGCGAAATCCAAAAAGGCCTGGGATTATTCTTCAAGGATTATAAGCTGGTTCCCAATAGCAAATCGCCTCTCTCCACGCCGCTGGATAACCCAGGGGAACATCATGTGGATGATACAGCTTGGCACCAGTGGCGTCGCAGGAATTGTCGGAATGTTTCATTGTACCAATGTTATCCGCCTACGGGACTCCATATCCAGGTTTTGTTCTTCTCTTAGATGAGTTGCCATCTAAGGTTAATGAGTCCCATCCACCCAGGGTGCTGGTGACATTTTTGCTTGACTGGGCTTTGGTGGGGATTGAACGCCAGACCATCAACTTGAGATTTGCTCAGTTTACCACTCGGCCACCCAGCACTCTATACTTATACTTACCACTTGACAAAAGATGTAGAGCTTGTATACACAATATAAGAACAAGAAAGATATATCATTTTTAATACATACAATTTTAATGCACAAATCCTAATAATCCAGCATGTCATCCTAATCACTTGTTCACACCCCAATTAGCGTAGTCGGCTGCTCTGGTTGACTCACCGCCCAGAGTCTCACCAACCTTGTAGAAATCTTAACAAAATAGAGAGGAGGAAAAAACCACCAAATTATCATCTCTTCTATTTGATTGTGAAAGACCTGAGCAAAATAACAATGATATAAAAAGTACAGGTATTCCTTCTATTACGGCAACAACAAAAAAAGGGGGTTCAGGTTGATAGCCTTATGTCTGCCGTCTAGCGTGAAGACTAAACATGATCAACAAAGGTAACACTGATATTTTAAAGCACAATTAATTCTTACACTGAATTATTTCTGCAAAGTTGCCATTTTCATTTCCCTCCCCCCTCATATTTGGTCAGTTGCATATCCTCTTTTCTAATTTTTTTTTTTTTTACATTGTACTTAAGTCCTTGATGCAGATTATTAGCCAACCCATTTGTGGTTTTGATTTTGTTTAACGTCAAATTAAGTTTGATTGCAACCCTCCCCCCCCCCCCCCCACCCCCCCCTGCGCCACGTGTTAAACAGGGATCCCCCCCCCCCCCCCCCCCC